GAGAGCCCTCTTAAAGGTACCTCTGAAGTCAGTCTTCCATCTCCCGTAACCATTAGTAGTAGTCCATAGAGATGTCTTCCATAACTATTAGTAGTAGTCCATAGTGGCATTTTCCAAAACCATTAGTAGTAACCCATAGTGGTGTTTTCCATAACCCTTAGTAGTAATTCATAATCAATAGTTATTTGAAATTGTTATAAGTCATTAGTTATTCAACAGAGGGGCTTCAGTTGAAAAATCAGCCCGCTCAGTTCAGATCCCTAAGAACTGCCACACGGGGACAGCTCTCCTCTCCGGTATACTAATCGCCCACTGGCTGCCCTGCACTGTCTGCAGAGGTCTGATGACTTCTCACTCAGAGTTACCTCAGCTCTGAGATACTAGGTTATAATCCCTTCTGATTACAGGGGTCCCAACTTCTACTTGTGTCTGAGTCTGTACAACTTGGGTTCCTTATAGCCTCCTGTCCTCTTTTTTCTCTTAGTCCAACCGCATGATTTGAGCCTGTGGCACCCCAACACAAATGTGACCCAGGGCCAGCCATTTCACTTCATCCCTAGCCAGCACATCCCTGCCTCCATTCCTCCTCCATTACCCTTGGCTTAGTCTGCCTGCCCGCTCACCCCCAATTACACATACTTTTCCTTTTTTCTTCTCATCTGGTGTGCTGTGGGAAGTCCTAACATGTTGTGAGACCATTATGGCTTCAGCCTTCTTAACCATCACTTCTGTCCATCACACCTAGCTGTCCTCACCACCACCACCACCACCACCACAAGCAAACTTCCCCTGGCATACCTAATTTTGTTATTGGCATGGCGAATTTCTTATAGACCCTTGAAGTCTAGACTGACATCTCTCTCCAGGTTTGGTGGTGCAGGTCTACAATCCCAGCTACTCAGGAGGCAGAGGCAGAAGAGAGGAAGTTCAAAGCTGACTATGCCAGGTGCGGACTCAAGGGCAGCCTGTGTACCCCAGTGAGATCCTATCTCAAATTAAAAACTAAGACAGCAGGATCGATATAGAGCTCATGGCCGAGCTGTGTAAAAAAGAAAGAACCAGTCTCCTCTCTTTGCCTCCCAATTCCCTTAAAAGCTCCCAGTCACTAAAACTTAAAAATGTTCAGCATACACAAAAACCTGTCTTTTCTGATGAGATAAAGCATATTCTGGGTAGAATAGCTGTAGAGAAAACATGTTTGTTTCACTTCTACAGACGCATATCTTGCCCCAACGACACCAGCGGTGACAGTTTCCTAACTGTTCTTGGTCTCAGTTATCTTATTTGGTTGGCCAAAATTCAGCTCAAAAAAAAAAATCTACTCCAAAGCCTCTGGTAATTCTCATTTGCCAACTGAAGCTCACATTCCTGAGCCTGGCAGTCAGAGCATTCCATGACCTGGCCCTGGTCCTCATCTGTGGGAATCATCTTCTCTTGAAGTCATGCAGGACAAAGGAGAACAAACAGAACAGAACACCAGAGCTCTATCTATCTATCTATCTATCTATCTATCTATCTATCTATCTATCTATCTATCTATCCATCCATCCATCCATCTATCGTCTATCTATCATCTATCTATCTATCTATCTATCTATCTATCTATCTATCTATCTATCTATCTATCTATCTATCATTTCTATCTCTGTATTTGTCTGTGTCTGTCTGTCTGTCGCTATGAGCACTTTCCCTTGTCATGTGTGTGTGTGTGTGTGTGTGTGTGTGTGTGTGGTTTATGTGTTTGACACAAGGTCTCCATCACATCCCAGGATAGCCCAGAACTCACTAAGCAGCCCAAGTCATCCTTGAACTTTGAACTCATGGCTGTCCTCCTGCTGCAGCATGCTGGCCTCCATGGGACATGGGATATCATTTGCTGTTCCTTATGCACTGTAACTTTCTCTTGGTTGAACTTCTGATTCTCCTATCTCTAGATCCCATGTACTGTGATTCTAGGTATGGGCAACTTATGTCCATATTCTTCACTTTAAAATCATTAAATAGTTTAAATAGTTTAAGTGTACAGAAATGTAGACAGTAAACAGGAGTTTGCCAAATCTTTGTATGTTGTACTTATTTCGGATTTTAAATAAATGCACATGGTGTGTGCAACTTTCTATTGGTTGATCTCCCTGTCTGTATGATAGACACAGTTGAACCCTTTTTCTCTCCCTAGCAACAGTTACTATGTACTGAATTAGGCTGTTGACCCCACCACTCTTTTCAATTGAAGACATTATGAAATTATGAATAGGCATCAACATGGAATATTATAAAAACATCATGAAATTACATACCCACAAATAATATAGCCTTTGTACATTTTTAACCTTTATGCTATTTTCAACATTTTATAGCCTACTTTCTGTCATTTAATATGCTATTTTATTTTTTCCCACATTAATCATTTTGTAATCTCTGATTTATTTCCCCATATGACCGTTTCTCATTGGCTAAATATACCACGATTCCTTTGATTCTATTTATTCCTCTTGTGAATAAATAGAAAGATTGTTTCTAGGTATTCATTTTGACAAACAAACCTGAGTGCTCATGTCTTTTTGAGTAGCTGCTCAAAGGGGGCTTCCTTTGTGGCGTCTTCACCCAAGCTGATCTCTTTACCTGGAATGACTTTCTCTGTCTATGAATTTCATCATCTCTGCAGGTACTCTCAGCTCACCGTGTTCTCCAAAGCACTAAGTCACAGCAACACCTTCCTCCATCCATCCTCAGCAAACAAGCAAACCATCTGCATTTCTGTTAGTCAGATGGAGTATTCAAACACAATCTTGTCCTGTACCGACCTGGATGTTTCTCTTACGTCCCTATCAAGCCATACTTTCTTAGAGATAAATATTGTGTTGCATGGGATTCCATTCCTTTTCCTCTCTAGTGAGAACACTGAGTAGATATCAATGAATGTCTGTAGAATTCACTTGGCCCTTTCTCTTTTTGCTACAAGTACTGCTTCCCCACTTAATGATACGGAATCATTAGAGTCAGGAGCTGCTGCGTTTCCACGTGTTGTCATTTGAACCTGGAGGTAAGAAGCTTGGCTCTGTCACCAACACTGTTTGCTGCTAGAAACCAGAGTCACTCGGAGTCTCTGGGCTCCATAGCCGGGAGTAGATGACTGCACACAGCTGGGTGTGCACAGAGATGAAGAAAAATACCGCCTTTCTTTTCTTTACCGTGAAAGCACCAGTGGGTTGAAAGAAAACGCTCCCCAAAGGGAGTGGCACTATTAGGAGGTGTGGCTTTGTTGGAGGAGGTGTGGCCTTGTTAGAGGAAGTGTGTCACTGTGGGGGTAGGGTTTGAGATCTCTTTTGCTCAAACTACACTCAGTGTGGTAGACAGTTCACTTTCTGTTGCCTGTTTATCAAGATCTAGAACTCTCAGCTCCTTCTCTAGTACCATGTCTGCCTGTGTTCCACCATGTCCCACCATGATGATAATGGACTAAACCTCTGAAACTGTAAGCCACCCTAATTAGTTAAA